TTTTACATTTTTAAAATTCTAATATCACCACTATAAAATAAAATATTTTTGATTTTTAAAAGTTATTATTTGCAAATTTTCATAAGCTGAAATTTTATTACCTATTTTAATCCTAGATATAATTTATTATTTAAATTTTCTTATGAAAAGATAAGCAATTAGTTTTTAAATGTATTACATGTTGATATAGAAGCACAGAAATTTAAGTAGTGAAATAGTTAAACTAACCGTAAATTGCAACAAAGGGCCAAAACTATCAAAGCTTCAAGAAATAATTTGACATCTCATATTCTTATACCAATAGTTAATTATTCATAATTCATAGCTTTGATCAAATAAAAATTGCTGTAGAAAGCTATGGCATTTTTCAAATTTTTTAAAGATTAATTCAATAACAATAGGAGTAAATTTGAATTATTAAGTTTTGTAATTTTTCAATTAATGCCTGGAAAAAATGTGATTTTATATTATTAAGAATAAATTTTTGGCCTCTAAATCTCTACAACCGAATAAAAATATTTGTTAATTTAAATCTAAACTTTCAAAAGTTTATCAGTTTCTATTTTTGAGCTTTATGCAAAATCAATTTGATAGTCCTTATTATTTGCATTTTTACTCAAAATATTCAAACCAACTTGTTAATTATATCCGATTTAAAAATCATTTAGAACCAAGAGCAATGTATATACTCTCTTTAAAATATAATATCATTGAGTGAATCTGAGTTTGCTCAAATAACTGGATAAACAAACGCTTTAATTTATATTGGGAACTGTTAAATAATTATAAATAGACTTATTATAGAAGGGTTATACATTTCTCCAATTATGAAATTTATTAAACTCCTTTTAATTAATACTTATCTATAAAAATTCATTTTTTTTATCTTTTTAATATATAGAAATACAATAAGAAAAGGTATTAAAAATATATGTCGTTCAAATATGTATACATCTTAAAAATTTATCTTCTTATTTCTAGTAAAAGCATAGAAAACTTTAACTTGAAAATTCTTAAATTAAAGATTGCAAATAATTTTTAGAGTTGCTAATTAATAATTAAACTTTTTTTAATATTTCATCTTTTTAAAACTAGTTTTTCAGTTTCTCATAAGAAGCCATATCAAGCTAAGGAAGCATACAATATGCCTTATAAATAAGAATCTCTATTTTGAATAGGGAATTCTATGTTAAAATCACAGTTTTTAATTTTTTAATATAATTCATTTTTTTATCATGCTTATTTTACGAGCAAATATTCTGATTTATATAATATTAATGGAAAACAAAGAATCATCCAACCATCAAAAAAAATAAATTAATCTATTAAGTCTTTGGTATGTTGTTTTCTGGCATTACACTTTTCTAAACCTACATTTTCTTTCCAATTTATATTTAGAATTTGAATAGTGCAAGATCTGTAAAGTAGATTCTATCACCAATTCTTTCAACATTTATCTTTTATGAGTTTTCTATACTTATTATTTCTGTATCTTATAAAAGTAATCCCTTTTCAACTAATTTAGTTTGATCATAATCTAAACTAACCAAAACATATTACAATCATCAATACTGCCTAAAATGATTGATTCTTCATAATTGCTCAAAAAAATCTATATACGTAGCTTTATGTCTATTATATTTTAATAACCAAATTTATTCATAGCCCATATTAAATTACAGTATTTTAGGATAGTTTTGATCCTTCTTTTGAAGGAACATAAAATACATAACACCAAAGTTTTATTCTAAAGAAAAACTGTTATATCAGCAACTTTTCATACTCTGATCAGTCTATCCTCTGATGGAAATACATTAGCTTCTGGTAGTAATGATTAATAAAATCTACCCTTATTCTGGTGAAAGAAGGAAAGGAACCTTTAAAATAAAAATTTAAGCTAGGTACCTCAATTCGATCATCTACTTGTTCTGTTTAAGAGAATTTTTCTACAAAAATAGTAACAAATAAGGATTATTGAGGCTCAATAAATAACACTAAATTATATTCTAAAATTGAATTACTTTTAATTAAGAGTAAATAATTATAAACCTTAATTTTTAGGTTGATGATTAATTTAACATTATTGAATAATTGATAAATTATAATTTTGTAAATAAGAAAATTTATATATACATTTATATATATAATAATAGATATTATTTCCTGCCTTTTATAAATTTAGTTTCTCATCCTATCAATCTAATATTGATGGGTGAATTAAACTCATTAATATAGATGAAAAGTTAAAGTATTTTATTATTATCCCATTATGGATATTTATAAAAATACCAATAATTATATCCTTTTTTTCTTCTACAGTTTTTACAAACTAAGAAGTGATAAGGGATACTTTTGTTTTGATATTAATTAATTTCGTAAAAATCATCTTGAAGGTAAAAGTGATTATATAGTTCTGACTCTTTAAAAGGCTTTGTTCATAATCTGAGTGATTTATAAATGTTTATTACATAGACATTGAAAATTATTATTGAAAGTTGGTTTTGCTTTTAGCATTATGTCAATAATATTCAGTAATAAAAATAAGTAGATTGTAATTTTTTGGAATTATAATCTCGGGTAGATATAATTATCTTCTTAAATCTTAATTTTTTTAAGGGATATAATACTTATTGGTGATTAATTTATCTTTTCAGTACTTAATATTCAGAAATACTATTATTATCTATTTAATAAATAATAAATTTATTATTCTATCTAATAATTTTAACTTTTGTATAGTTTGAATTAATTACTTAAATAATCTAGGATCAACCTTATTTTTTTATTCTTTTTCATATCTTTTTATTAGCTCTGCTATTAATTTTATCTTTTCCTATTTATGAACTAAAAAAATAAACAATTCTTACAAATATTAAATTTACCTTTTAATGCCAATCCCTATTACAATTAATAATAATTTAGCAAATCTATCATAATTAGCTAGATGATTAATAAGCATTGCGTCTTGTTAAATTACTTTATTTTTCAAAAAATAGTCTCTTTGATAAGACTCAGTTTTGTCCTATAAGATATCTGTAGAATATTTATTTATTGTAAATTTTAATAATATAATAAAAAAATTTATAATAATGTTTATAACATACCAATATATACTACCTACAATAAACTGAACATATATTTTTTTTATATTAAAATAAATGAGATGTATATAAAATTGAAATGGAATAAAACTTTGGTATTTATCTATTTTTAGATATGAAAATGAAGAGCAAAAATTAAAAAACACTAGAACTTGAATGTAATTATAATGGTAATATTGTTAATGAATAATAATTTTCACTTTTACTTAAAGTCTTCTAAGAAGCAACTACCTTTTGATTTTAATAATGATCTTAGATCGTATCCCTGATAATTTATAAAATCTCCTTTCAAGATCAAAGCTTCTTATGCTTAAAATAATGGTGTTTGAGATATTCGTAGAATTGTGATATTGTTGGATACTAAAAAGTAATAATTAAATAAATACATGATAGAGGATTTTTTTAAGATAGTGGTGCTTTAGATTAAGTTAGAATATGTTTATAATTTTTGTCAGTGGGTAAAATTTCTTTTCCACTCTTGACATCACAAAGGATAGACTTATCATCACTACAAGAAGTTAATGTATTTCCATTAGAAGAGAAGTAGACTGATCTAACATAATTATTATGACCATCTAATTTGGCTTTTTATTATGTTTTGACATCCCAAAGACGAATCGAGTTATCCCAACCACCAGATGCTAATGTATTTCCATCAGGAGAGAAACATACTGATAGGATTCCATTACTATGACCAACCAATTAGGCTTTTTCTTATCCTGTTTTGACATCCCATAGACGGATAGACTAATCATAACTACCAAAAGCTAATGTATTTCCATCAGGAGAGAAACAGACTGAGTTGATATAATCACTATGACCATCAAATAAGGCTGTTTATTATCCTGTTTTGACATCCCAAAGACGGATAGAGTTATCTACACTACCAGAAGCTAATGTCTTTCCATCAGGAGAGAAACAGACTGTATAGACAGCATTTTAAATACCATCAAATAAGGCTTTTTATTCTCCTGTTTTGACAGCCCAAAGACGGATAGACTTATCTTCACTACCAGATGCTAATTTATTTCCATCAGGAGAGAAACAGACTGAGTTGACATAATCACTATGACCATCAAATAAGGCTGTTTATTATCCTGTTTTGACATTCCAAAGACGGATAGACTTATCAGTACTACCAGATGCTAATGTCTTTCCATCAGGAGAGAAACAGACTGAGTTGACAGTATTACTATGACCATCAAATAAGGCTGTTTATTATCCTGTTTTGACATCCCAAAGACGGATAGACTTATCTTCACTACCAGATGTTAATGTATTTCCATCAGGAGAGAAACAGACTGAGTTGATATAATCACTATGACCATCAAATAAGGCTGTTTATTATCCTGTTTTGACATCCCAAAGACGGATAGACTTATCTTCACTACCAGATGCTAATGTATTTCCATTAGGAGAGAAACAGACTGTGTAGACAGGATATGAATGACCATCTAATTTGTCTTTTTATTATCCTGTTTTAACATCCCAAAGACGGATAGAGTTATCATCACTACCAGATGCTAATTTATTTCCATCAGGAGAGAAACATACTGTATAAACAGCACATGAATTACCATCTAATTTGGCTTTTAATTATCCTGTTTTGACATACCAAAGACGGATGGAATTATCATCACTACTGGATGCTAATGTCTTTCCATCAGGAGAGAAACAGACTGACCAAACATAACTAGTATGACCATCTAATTTGGCTTTTTATAATCCTGTTTTGACATCCCAAAGACGGATAGACTTATCATCACTACCAGATGCTAATGTATTTCCATTAGGAGAGAAACAGACTGTGTAGACAGGATATGAATGACCATCTAATTTGTCTTTTTATTATCCTGTTTTAACATCCCAAAGACGGATAGAGTTATCATCACTACCAGATGCTAATTTATTTCCATCAGGAGAGAAACATACTGTATAAACAGCACATGAATTACCATCTAATTTGGCTTTTAATTATCCTGTTTTGACATACCAAAGACGGATGGAATTATCATCACTACTGGATGCTAATGTCTTTCCATCAGGAGAGAAACAGACTGAGTTGACATAATCACTATGACCATCTAATTTAGCAGTTTATTATCCTGTTTTGATATCCCAAAGACGGATAGACTTATCAGCACTACCCGAAACTAATTTATTTCCATCAGGAGAGAAACAAACTGATCTCACATAATCACTATGACCATCTAATTTGGCTTTTTATTATCCTGTTTTGACATCCCATAGGCGGATAGACTAATCATAACAACCAGAAGCTAATGTATTTCCATCAGGAGAGAAACAAACTGAGTAGACAGTGCCAATATGACCATCTAATTAGGCCCTTTTCTTTCTTGTTTAAGTATCCAATAATAAGACCGATCCATTACGACCTCCACAAGCTAATGTATTTCCATTAGGAGAGAGACAGACTGACCAAACACTTCCACTATGAATATCCCATTTGGCTTTTAATTATCCTGTTTTGACATCCCATAGACGGATAGACTTATCATGACTACCAGAAGCTAATGTATTTCCATCAGGAGAAAAACAAACTGATTTCACATAATCACTATGACCATGTAATTTTATTAATTCAAGGATTCTTAAATTTCTCCATTAACAATTAAATAATAATGCTCCATTCAGATTTATTCCACTTATGTTGACATTATTAAATTAGGATTCACTAAAATTACACCTAGCAAAATTTGCTCCTACTAAAGATGTATTTTGGATCTTAATATTTTCAAAATTTTTGCTTCTAAAGTCCACCTTCATCTAAACTAATAAATGTAATGAATTAGACCCACCCTATATTAACGTTTCATCAATGGATGTGATGCGAACTAAAAATTACAGAAATTCAATGATCCTTTTATTATCCTTGATGTTATTAATTAGACTTAATGTTGATTCTTCATTTTCTACAGAGGAAAAGTTTTTATAATTGAATTCATGATCTTTAATTTTTTTTAAGACATCTGTAATTTATTTAAGGTCATTTCTAACAACATTTTATTTCTATTCTGTATCAACCTGTATTAATTTCTCTATTTGTTTAAAGTTTTATTATTCTAAATGACTTTGATTTCCATTATCTGAAAGGTATCCAATGCAATCTTAAACTTTTTCCTTTCCTAATTTTTCTAATATGATACAAAAAATTTGCTCATCTACATCTTTGACTTAAGCAAAGGTGTCAGCTAGAGCTTCCTTCTCTTTAAAAGAGCTCTGCATTTTCTTTTTTAATTTTAATAATTAATTTCTATTACTCTAACTTAAAGTGATACACTGCGAAATTAATAAATGTATCTTGTGCATTTAAGTAAATTAGAATTTCATAATTTGTGCAGATTTCAAATTGATAATAATATACATAAATTAAGCTTTGAGAAATCATTTCAACATATGCATTGCTTTCTTCTTAAATAATAGGGAATAATCAATTTTAAATGAATAATTTAATTTATACTTAATTTGGGTAATATAATTGAATAATTCATTTTTCTTGTAATCCTTATTTTATAGCATAAATAATTGTAATTTTTAGTTGGCAATAAAGGGATAGTCTAAACACTCCTTTTATATGATTTTAATTATGATTATAGGATTTATAGTTGCAATAAAAAAGGTTATTCTTATTTGTTAATGTCGAACATAAACTTTAAAATTTTTTTAGGATTTGGGTAAATAAAATAATAAGGATTTATAGGGTCTAACTCAAAAAAAAGTAATATCCCCCTTTGAAAAAACCTGAGGAGAATTGTGAAGATAGACTTTTTGGCTAAAAATTGATGTATGGCTGATTAATATATGCATAATCAATTTTTTTATAAAAGTAATATTTTCCTAATGTCCAAAATTTGGTATGACGCCCCCAATAGAGGTTGTCACCTCTTCAGAGAAATTTTGGCCATAATATTTGATATAAAAAGAAAAAGGGGGGTATTTTAAAAAAACTGCCTTTTACTTTTTATGGACTTTCGAAAAAAACTTATACCCCCCTTAGTTTTTTTTAAAGGCAAAAAGTGATTATGTACTTTTTGTAAAAATTGCAATCGTGTTCACAATTGATTTTAGAAATGTATTAGCTACAAAATTGATGGAGGACTTATTTTTGTTTATGTATAATCATTTTTTTTATAAAAGTAATATTTTTTGAATATTTTATAATAATTTCTAAAATCTAGTATGACCCTTCTAATGGAGGTTACCATGTTTCCAGGAAAATTCTGGTCTAAATCTTTTATAAAAAGCAAAGGGGGGGGGGAGTACCTTTATTTTTGATGAAGTTTTACTTTTTGGAGGTCGTTTTTGTCTCCACATTATTGATGAAGATAAGGGTGATATAAATCTAAGATGATAACCATTACTCTTAGAATTGTACCTTCTATCAAATACTGTATGAAATTTATAATAATTATTATAAGAATATAATCTCATAATGGAAAAAATTATGAGAGAATTAGGTTTAGTTGAATATTTGGTAAATAAATGAAAAGAAAAATTTGAACATTTCCTTAAAATTATTCGAAACTAATTTAGTTTATAATCTAATTAGATTTAAACACTCTCAGAGAAATTTTCAAATGTCAGAAAATAACATTAAACATGAAAGAAGATATCAAAAAGAACTAGAATAAAAGGAAGAGAGGATAATGGTATAATTTGACTAAAAAAATATACAATTTATTAATAATGTAATATAAAACTTAAAGATATATAACAAGCTTAAAAGGACTCTAGATTTCGATTGAAGAGGCAAATAAATCTATTTTATAAATTGACGCAGAAAATTTTGAAGAAAATAGCAATTAAATTGACAATTTAAATGATAAATTAACTTATTACTTGTATAAATTTTAGTATTAATCTAAAAATTAAAAATATTCAAACTAGATAGTTTAAATGATGAATTAGAAAAAAAATTGATTTAGGATAGTTAAATTCTTTAAAAAAATTAAAAAATTATTGTACATTGATATCTTATCAATAATTGAAGAAAAATTACTATGAAATTGAGGAATCATTAAGAGATTTTTTAAAATACTATAATTAATTGCATGAATAAATTTAATTGAATACATAAATGTAGAAAGAATTAAAAAAATAAAACTGACCTAAAACTAATTGGATTAAATTAAGAAGAAAATGAATCACTTAAAAGATTTAATTGAAAATTAGTTCAATAATAAATATTTGAATTATGAATAATTTTATAATTTAATCAATAATAAATTGATTAAGATAGATTAGAATATAATTGAATGTTAAAAGTAATTAGAGAATTTCATTGAATTAAATCTATTAAATTCTTATGAAATTATGAAGAATAAATATAAATTATTGGAGGAAGTTTAAAGAAAATTAGATAGAGATGTTAATGAAATTGAATATAATGTAGACTAATTAAAGCTGATGATTTCTAAAATAGAAGCTGAAAACAGAAGTGAAGAAGAAAAAGAAAACTTACAAAAAATTTTCAAAAGCTCTACATAAATTAATAAATAATGAATATAAAGGCAACTTTTAAATTGAGTTGAAATAAGAAAAATACACCTTAAAATAAATTTCGATGTTTAAAATATAAATACGAAATTATTCTAAATTGAAAAGCAAGGTATAGATATTAAAAATAATCAAAATAAATAATACATTGAGGAATGGCCTAAAAAAATAAAATAGACTAATTAATAAAAAGGTTATAGGTTAAAAATTTATTCATTAGAGTGTGTTAAACATAATAAGAATTAAATTTTTGCTTTATGGATAATAATTTAATTAAGAATTATAATTGTTTAGAAATGTAAGAGAGTTAATTATTAATAGAATTCATGTGTGCAAGAGATGAAATGAATAGTAAATTGTATTCAATGAATGAAGATGAAAGATAGATAAAGAGTAATTTAAAAATAAAGTATATACCTAATAAAGGATACCTAGATAGGTACAAACATGCCTGGAAAATGTGTAAATGTGGTGAACGCTGGAATTTTAATCATTTAAGATTTCATGATCCACAATTGAAGGAGGAATTTGAACTGTTTGAGAAAGAATTAGATAGCTACCTTCTATCTGGCTCCCAAATTTATTAACTCTAATTTAAACAAGAATATGTGTGAAAAAATTGAAAATTTTGAATTAAAAAATGTTTGCTTTGGTTGAGAGTAAAGTTGAGACTAATGTTAAAAAATAATAAAACCAGAATTGAGAAATTACATATTATTAATTATTATTATTATTATTATTATTATTATTATTATTATTATTATTATTATTATTATTATTATTATTATTATTATTATTATTATTATTAATTATTT